GAAATCAAGGATCTGATAATATCAGAATCCTGATCAGCAAAACTTTCTGATGATGAAATTTGACGAGTACCCTGAGATGATCACAAGGATGATGGATAATGATGACGACGCTGATGATTATTTCTCTCCACCCCTCCCCTTCTTCCATGTATTCTCCTCCTCTCCCCTCATTTCCTCTTCTCCTCTCGCTGCCTCCGCTGAGCCGAACCCCGCTATCAGCATGAAGTTCCTATCAGCCCCAACGAGAGAGAGAACCTCCCCATTCCCTTCTACCTTGAGGTAACCAGTTATTTTTTACTATTTGCTAAAATTATTTGTTTCCAACAAACAAATATTGGGTTGTAGGGCTTGAAAATGGCCAAAAAAAAAAAATTCCCCATTATTTTGGTCGGGAAAAATCGGTGAAATTTGTGGCCGCTGTGCAACCGAGGCCACGGTTGTGAACGCAGCCACGCTCTGAGTTTGACCCCGCGGCCGCGGCCGCAGGTGATACATAGGCTATAGGGTTTCGTCCAAATGCCAGCTTGGCCGGCGACTTTCACATTTACTTTACTTACATATATCTTGCACCTGGGAGATGGGTCTTCTTCTTCTTCTTTTTATTTTTTATTTGCTTATTTACTTATTTATCCTATCCCTTAAGCAGCATTGGCCATGGGGGGGAGGTCCATACGTGCCAGATTCAGATCATTGAGATCAAAGTTTTGGTGAGGGGCGGCGGATGAAGGCGATCGAGGGCGGGGGAGTGTGCAGAGGGGTGCGCATACCGAAATGTTCACAGCCCGCCATTAAACGAGACTCACGAGAGGACGCGACCCGGGGGCGGGGCACACGGCTGGCGTTGATGCGGACGAACATCTTGGAGGCGAGCCATCCGATATGTGGGCGGCTTTTTTTGTTTTGTTTTACCCGGTTGGGCGTCGTTTTGTGTCCCCCTTCTCCTTTTTTCATTTCTCGCACCTGGCATTTTGTGTCCCCCCCCTTTTTTTCTTTTTTTTTTTCCTTCCTTCTTTTTTCATTTCTCGTGCGGCTGTCGTTATGTGTCCCACGACTGTCGTTTTGTGGCCCCCGGTAGGCCGTCGTTGTTTCTGCAGACGAACATCTTGGAGGCGAGCCATCTGAAATGCAGTGTGAGGTCACCCGCTGCATTTGTTATTTCTGCGGGCGTAGCCCGCACCACCCGCACCGCAGGCACTTAGCTAGTTTATTATTAGGGGAAACTACCCACGAGTCGCAAAAATGAGTTGATTGCACTATGGGCCAAGATACAGTTTCGAATTGCAGTTCGGGCAATGTATACAACCCAGCTTTCTGGCCAGGTAGGGTGCCCGAAGTGCAATTGCAAACTGTATCTTGCCCCATAGTGCAATTTTTTTTTGTGACTCTACTGAAGTTACCCCTTATTACTATTAGACGGGTCTTCTTGAATTCGTTACGGGAGTGAGGAGAATACGGCCAGGGACTCCAAGTGGATTCTATATAATGGGCCTGGAAATGTGCTAAATGAGAATGAAAATCTTCCAGTAGAACTTGGGAAGGTACACGGCACTGTTTTTTTTGTCTTTTGTGCATGTCTAGAGTAGCGGAGCCAGGCCCAATGCTGGAGGCAAGGCTTGAGCCTCTCTTTTCGAGCAGCAGGGCCCGGTTGTCCAAGTCACCCTCCTGATGATCCCATGTGGGCAGGTGAAAACAGTAGAGGGATACCGCTTGTTGCTCTCTTCACAGTTTTTCTTTTTCTTTTTTTTTTTCTTTCATTTTTTTTGGGGGGGAGAGGGGGAACACAAGCTCCAATCTATTCGTGGGGGAGCAGCACGTGCTGAGAACTGGGCTCAGCATCCCTTATGAAATACATAGAGAGGAGTTTGAGGAAAAACATGAGCATGAAATAAACAGAGAAAACCAACTGGAAACTGGGTCCAGGTCCCATGCCATGGACTGAGAAAACCAACGGTGGCGGGGTTCAGCGTTCTATGTGGCCTTGGGCTAACTCAACTACAAGATGGGGGCCTACCTCGTCATCCATCATGTCGAATGCCAGATCCTACTCAGAAAGCTAGCAGCCCCTGTCCACCTTTCCAACCCTCGGCCTGGCCCGGATACCCGTAGGAGCCACTGGGGGGCACCAGTGGGGCCTCCTTCCGTCTCCCTGCCTCATGCTATCCTCATGCAAAGTATTGTACGAAACATCTTGTGCTGAGATTTGGGCTCAGCGTCCCCCATTGCTCCATCTATTAGACCATTGGTGGGGAGCTGCACCTGCTCGAAACCGGGTCCAGTGTCCCTGTCTATCCAGCAAGAAGAGGGATAGACTCTATATTCCACCAGCACCGATTACCCCCGGTTGCCCTGGGGATTCATGCAAGTTCACATACAGTTCTTGGATATTTGGTCTGCATGAAAGTTCCATGTCGTGTGTGTGACTATGTGATGGCTGCAAAGACTGTTTAGCCGCAGTCTGCCAACTCTCTCTCTCTCTCTCTCTCTCTCTCTCTCTCTCTCTCTCTCTCTCTCTCTCTCTCTCTCTCTCTCTCTCTCTCTCT